GCTGACAAAATCAACATACCTCTAATTGCATATTAGAGCGTTATGGTTCCCGGAAGTTTGATAAGAACAGAAACTTCTGATCTGAACAACAGGCCAAATGAGCCCTCCTATAAAACTTTCATATACTTCTTTGTTATTCAAATAAAACTTTCAACAAGGGTTCAACAGTGATCCCAAGTCCCTAAGCTTTCATTTGATACTAAAACTATCCGAATATTCCCACTATTGACAAAGATACAGCTATGCTTAGGAACTATTTTGTTTAAAATATGTACTACTTTCTTGTATGTTCTTTCCGACCGTGCCTGAATTAGTGGTTCTATACCTATAACAGCACCAAACTTGTTATATTGACTTCTGCTTGACTTAATTTCTTTTATGATCTATTTCTAGCATAGAAAAACACACAAAGCTTTTGTCAAAATACTATATCACTGAATTCAAGCTCAAATTAGACTGGTAGTAACATATGTGTTAAACAAAGAAAACTACATATGGATACTAATAGTGACAGATATGACACTTTTTCAATTTTTACCAGTTCTGATTTGTTAATATCTACTCAAATAACAGTGTTCTTACCTATATGTCTTATTTTTATCAGAGATTCTTCCTTGAATATAAATACAGTGGTCCAAACATAAAATATAATTGATAATTGTGTCCCCCCTTTTTTCTACATGTTGGAGAAGGAGAGTGATATGGTAAAAAACCATACTTTTATGTATAAACATGGATCAAAAAGAGCAATTTATGTATCTCCAAGTTAGACAACTTGCTCAAATGGTTATGAAATGCATTTCAAGTGAGATTTTGGAATTTCTATATAAGTACACACCAATTATCCTTGACATAAATTATTCAATAAGAATTACAATAAAAAAATGAACACTCACTAGATAATTTGACCAAAAACAATACTTATGCTATAAACTAGTCAAAATATACAAGTTTTATTGGTTTCAGTGTTAGATAATTAAAAAAATTAAATTTCAGGTAAAATCTTAACTGTGTGCATGCTAAATGACCAAAAAAGGCTAAAATACCTTATTATAGCAATTTGACAATGTAACATGATTTCTGACAACAAATGTGACCAATTTTCACTGTAAAGGGTATGATTTCTAAAAATGGAATGTCACATGCCTTTCAGTAATAGGTATAAAACCACTAATTGATAGCCCCATTGCATTCTATGTTAAATTCTGCAATTTCAAGCATTAATGGCTACTTTGTCTTAAGTTCAAATAAAGTGGCAGTTATTTCATGTCAAAACTGTACCTTATCCTGACTTGTGCTGAAAAAATCAACATACCTTGAATTGCATATTAGAGCGTACTAATATCCGGAAGTTTGATAGTACAAGAACAAGAACTTCTGATCAGAACAGCAGGCCAAATGAGCCCTCCTATTAAAATTTCATATACTTCTTTGTTATTCAAATAAAACTTTCAACAAGGGTTCAACAGTGATCCCAAGTCCCTAAGCTTTCATTTGATACTAAAACTACCCAAATATTCCCACTATTGACAAAGATACAGCTATGCTTATGAACTATTTCGTTTAAAATATGTACTACTTTCTTGAATGTACTTTCCGACCGGGCCTGCATTAGTGGTTCTATACCTAAATAGTATTTGTTATCTGATTCATATACTTTACCTTATTTGTACGTTATGCATCTGTCAGCCAACCACCAAACGGTGTATTTTGGATTTGCTGTATACATGGGTAATAATCACCCCTAAAATTCGTCTTTACTGTGGGTAGACACTACTAAATCCAATTATTTTCACATTGCATCCGGTTGTATTATTTTATTCAGCATAACTTTATAAGATGACAAAACGAATACCAAATAATCAAGTCTTAAAATAAAGCGTTAGCACAGTTATCAATTTGTAAGCTGGCATGACGTTAAAATGGCGAATCAGAAATTTCAACTTTATATATAACTAATATCGGACAATGGCGTTAATAAAAACATACCTTATTCAACATGTTCAAGGCCTATTTGTTTTACAAATAAATAATATTTTACAATTAATAATTTCCAAATCGACGGGTTCTAACATAAAGGCTATAAAAGCATAGAAAATCGTGAATCTTATAATCAGCATGCCTTTTTCATATGACAATACCTATACTAAAAATCAAGCCTAAAAATAAGTTTCATATATAATTAGAAACTTAATTCATTCGCGGACCCGCGATGTAGAGGGTGTGTTCTAGTATAACTTAATTACTGTATACTGAAAGCACAATATTAAATAACACCTACACGAATAAGAATGGAGGTAGACAGTCAAATTTCCAGTAAAGAGGATTATGATGAGTTTAATATAATCAAGGAATTTTTGTCACTTTTTATACAGGCTGTTTTACGTAAAAAAAACCTATAAAATGTATTGGTTTGAAAATAGCTTGGCAATGGTTTCATGTGAGTTTGATCGGCTGAACTAATTGAACTATACTGTATAAACTCCCTTGACTTTGTTAATATTTTACTCACTTAAACATATTTCCAAGGTTGGAAACAAAAACCGATAAATTTATCTTGCCACAAAATCCAACACAAAAATCTTTATTTAATATACACGGAAAACAGATGTCGTTTATAACTAGTGCTAGGACCATCAGTGATAGTATTAAGTAATCATTTACTGAAACTTTTAAACTGGTAATAAATTCTGTCATCCAAAATAAATTGATTTCAGTTACTGATAATTATTCGTGTTGCTTAGTCTTTAGTATTCTATGTTGTGTCTAGTGTACTATTGTTTGTATATTTGTCTATTTCCTTTTTTAGCCATGGCGTTGTGAGTTTATTTTCGATCTATGAGTTTGAATTCTTCTTGTATCGTTCGCCTCTCTTCTCTTACTAAATTTGATTTCAGAAATCCTTTTTGAATTATATACGTTTGTTGGTGATTGATATATTTTGACCAAAGAGGTTTGATTGTATGTCGCTTCATTCATATAACGCATAAATGAGATAGTCAAATAGGATTAAAAAGAAAAAAACCGCTAGCAATATGTTTTAATTTCACATTCCGCTATATTGATGATGTCCTTTTTTAAATAATTTGAAGTTTGTTGATTATTTTCTACGCATCAGTCACAAATAACATGACCTAAACGATACAACAAATACAATAAAGAAATTTGGACATTGAAATGGGAAATATGTAAAAAAAAAACAACAAACCGACCAAAGAGCAGAAACAACCACCAATCGGTCTTCAACACAGCCAGAAAAATCCACATCGGGAGGCAAGCTTCAACTAGCTCTTAAACACGTGTATAAGTTCAATGAAAATGGACATCAAACTAAACTCCAAAACATATAAATGAACTAATATTAAAAAACATACAAGATTAACAACGGCCAGAGGCTTCTGACTGTGGACAGGCGCAAAAATGCGTATGGGTTAAACTTGTTGAACCATATGAAGTCTGCCTCATATCTTAATCGACACCTAGACATTGACAATGATGATCAGTGTTGTTTATTTTAATTTATTTTAATCTATTTACAAAAAATTAAACGAGAAACAAATATGTAACACAGCAATAAACAACTGAATTACAGATTTCTGACTTAGGACAGGCAATGAATAGTTTTTCATTTTTTGCCATGGCATTGTCAGTTTGTGTTTGTATTCAACCTCCGCTATTTTGTCTCCCTTTTGCTAAGGGTATAATATAACGTCAATACAACAAATATAATAGAAAAACATAAAAGTGATTATGGATTTGATTTTGAAAAACAAATAATTTCAAAGGAGCAGGTTCGCAAAGAGTCAATATTGGATCTATAATTTTATTTATCACATATTTGTTACAAATACGTTGGGTTTTGCATATGTAATAACTTCAAAATTGTCCGGGGCAAAAAAGATGTTATTGGTTATTGTGCCCTGATTCCAAATGACGTGAAGTCGTTGCGTCATTAATAACAATGGCGAACAATGAGGGTGCTCGTTTCATCGCAGTGGAGGAAAGCGATACGGCAGAATTTGTAGAGCAAATGCAAAACGCTAACACAAGAAAAAAAACTGAAAGTGACATTAAAATTATAATGGAGTGGTTAAAAAGTGCCGGAGAATTACGCAATTGTGTATTGCAATATTCCAAAATAAGTGGAAATGTGACAATAAATTTCTATGGAGTAAATGATAAAAACTAAATTTAAAAATGTGATAAAACTTTTGTGATAAAATTTTTAAGATTTTACCTGTTATATTTCATTAAATTGTTATAATTGAACTTTTTTCTCTTTTCTGCAGAACTTAAATATGTGATAAAAAGATTATAACATGTCTTTTCCATATTGGCCCTGGTATCATCCCTCGACCCATATCGGCCCTCGGCTAAAGCCTCGAGGCCGAAATGGGAGTCTCGGGATGATACCAGGGCCAATATGGAAAAGGGCATGTTATAATCTATACGAATTCACCTTCAATAATTAAAGTAAATACCTCACGACAAAAAGTGTAAACACATTTGAATCATGCAAAATACAAAAGTTCTTACATATCTAAACACTAATGATGTCATATTGACTCCATGATTGTGTACTCTCATAAAGAATATCATAATTTTGAGAAACTATCTTGTTTAACAGTTTTTTTTTCAAACGTCAACGGCTACTTCCAGTGGCTACCATGATTTTTCGTGTACAAATGCATGTTAACCTGATTTATATAAATCATATAACAAATTATTTGGTAGAACAGTATAACCAATGATTTGAAAAGGAACAAAACCTCATGAATGCAATTTGGTTAATATTATGTACAATATAAAGCTGTTGAAACTGTCAAAATAATTAAAACGATTAGAAGACAGAAAAGGGTTCTAGCTTATCTGAATTTGCATATTAAACATCATTATTATAGCGTTTACAAATAATCAAAATATTACAAAACATCTACAGTGTCATATTTAAAAAGATCCAATTATTTAATCGCATTCACCCATAATTCAGGTATAAATAAAAATAATCCCTTGATGAATTAGCATACAGCGACGTTCTGTGGATTGCATAACATATAAGGTATATTGTATTATTTCAAACATTTTTGAATGTTGCCGAACGTTTTCTTGAATATTTGATTTTTTCTTTGGTCTTAATGTAACGATACGAGTGTTCTCGTTTATAATCTAGCCTACCAAAAACAAAATAAACATAATGCAATTTTTAACAATTGATTATTTCAAAAGAAGATAACAGATGCCCATTTCTATGTCTGGTTTTAATTTTCTGCGTTTGATTGTATTGTTTTAACCATCAGTTTGCTTCATCTAAAAAAAATATAAAAAATTCAAATGTTCCGGATTCTTTTGTTTTAAATGATCATTTTTTTTCAGGTTTATAAAGATTCACTCGTTCATTATGGCTGGACATGATGGGGTACGTATTTCAAAATGTTAGAACTATTGTCATATGATAAAAAGGATTTGAGAAAATAAAAATGAAATACTTGGAAAAAAACCAATTACAAACGAGTAGTAAAAAAGTTCAAACGCGTGAATATAACAGAGGGAAAAAAGATAAACAAGAAAAGAATAATAATTGTAAATAAAAATTAAATACACAAATGAATATAATCAATTTTGAAATTATGATAATATTTTATCAACAAGCCAAATATTTATTGCGGTTCACGTTCAAACGAGTCGTAACAAAACAAAATTATCCCAGCTTTTTCTTTAAAAAATACATTAATCAATTTTCTATATTGTAAAAGATTTTTACAAAACTGAGGTGTGCCGGTTAGCTCGATGTACATGAATATAATTTTTATTCAATATTAAGATTTATTATTAAGTTATGAAGTGTACAAGTTTGCAGATGTGTACAATATGCATTACCATTACTGCTGGACAATCGTACAGTAGCCTAATATTCAACAGATGTGTTGGTGAAAAAGTGCGTTCGACCCGTCAATCTATAGCATTTTTACCTGAATTGGCGAAGCTTCAGGCACTTGTTGTCTGCATCATAAAAAAAATCTTTATGATATGAATAATCACACATTTGCTTTCGTTTCAAAAATAATAGTACGAAAAGATGAAGATGTAAGGTTTGAAAATTTCAGTTTAACGTACGATCAATTTTAATCGTAAGATTGTATTTGAAAAGACCAGAAGATTACTTATACTTGATATTATATGAAATATACAGAATGTTTACAGTGCTATTAAGTACCACAACTTACCTTTTTGAGTAAATAAATTAATTTGTAGTAACAGTTTTCTTGAGAACGTTTACAATCAATGTTTGTTGCACTGTATGAAAAGAAAGGGGTAGCGAAAATATAATTGCTTGGTTTCCAAAAAAACTGTAGGCAAACAATCAGAAAATTTCTTTTTGGTTGCTCGTTTTCATTCCGGAACATCTATTCCCTTTGATAGTGTTTGTCTTGCGGTCGGTTTTTCGTGTTTTGCTCTGGAATTGTGTACCGACATATAAGTTTGTATACACTTTTTTGGACCCTTTCTCTTCCTCTTTTAAGAACGACTACAATTTTGTTAATTAAATAAGGTTTAATTTTTGAGTTTTTTTTGTTTCTAAGAAGTCACACGGATAAAAGCCATGACGGGATAAAAGCACACAGAATATACAGACAACTTACTTTTTTGTGAAATCTATAGTTACTTGATTCTTCTTCTACAGTAAAACATGTGATTTTAGTTGTTTGACGTTATTAAAAAAACATAAATTTATGCTACCTATTGCTATCGTTGTATTTTCTTGTAACTTAAGGAACTAGTGAGATAAAATATGTTTTTTTCTGTTGATTTATACCATGGCATATGACTCTTTTTTACAAATTATTGTTTAGAACAATGACCTTATATGGATATGTGTATTGCTATTATTTAACATGATGAGTTTTATTACTGTCCCTCATGTTTTGTAAATATGTGAAAACCAAAGCCTGTATATGAAGAATTTCCGTCATTTGAAATTCAACGTTTTTTTTTCTTAAACTTAAAATAATAAAAAACAGTTTTATATGAATTAACCATTCTTAAATTTTAAACGAGCTTACGGATTTCAATCAGATTGACAGATTTATTTTCAGCGAGGTAAATATGGAAAGACTCTTCAATTCCTCAAATACTTCTTGTGTTCTGATTTGAATCATAGTTGACCCTTTTCCCAAAAAATTCCGTCACTACAATTACATGTATCACATAGCAATAATCAAAAGACATCAACACTAATATTCAGTAAACTTTTTTATCTATTGAATATCTTTTATTATAAAAATGTATTTATCATTTTACTGCAGTTTTTCGTTCTTCAAGTGACCTAAATGTTTGATCAGTCATCAACTAATGTATCTGTAAACATGTCCGTTTATGGATGGAAGAGACACATCTTCTACGCTCGGCAATCGGTATCAAAAGACTTCTGAAGTTTTATTTTCGACTTACGAGTTTCAAAGTCTCTTTGGTAGTTTTAACCTATTGTCTGTAACTGAAATTAAGTATTCAAGAAATATGATACTTTTAAATCACTGTGTTCGTCAGTCTTATATTTAGTTGTTGACATAGGATATTTTCTGTTTTGACATTTATATTTAACATGCAATGAAGAAATGAATAATTGGCGTTCCAGAACCTTCCTTCAAATACATCATGTACATTAAACATTTACTTCTCTTTAAATGTCGAAACTATTAAAATATTATGCAATAAACTACCAAAGTGTAATTATACAAGAGTTAAATACAACATTTCTTTATTTTCTCACATTGATTTTCGAAGAGAAAAATACACCGTTTTATTTTTTAAAGTGCAGTAATCTTAATTTTCTTGTATATTAAAATGTTTCCAATAATATATCTGATGAACATCTGATATAATTAAAATAAGGAAAACATTGTATGTTCTTTTTAAAAGAAAGTAGATATATCTAGAAGATGGACTGGATACTACAACGATGACAAGGAAAACACATTTTGGCTAAGTCTGGACCAAGAACGAAAAGACGAATCACTTGAAGGATCTGATGTAAATGGAAGCAAAATTTACACTAGACTTAATAAATCAAGTGATTTTGGAAGACGTCATGTTATTTTCTGTTTGGTGAATGACAAAGGGAAAAAAGATTGCTGAGATGGATGTAAAGATTTTAAAGGAGTTATCTCTGTAGAAGGCAGTAGAATTGTAGGAATATATGAGAAAGACGGGCAAACTGTCGGCACCTTCACAATGGAAAAGAGGATTTTTTTGACAATGGACGTATGTATATAAAAATAGACTTATAGTTTCTATCTAGGTAAAATCAATCTCAAATTTAATTAAACAGTTTTTAATGGTTGACAGAGGGATTACAATGATAGGTTACATGTTGTTCAAAAAAGATAAAACAAATATTGTGAAATATACATTTCTCAGTTGTTCATTACATGGTGAATGTAAATTGATATATTTCAAATAGTCTTTAAGCGTTACAAGAGTCACATAGCAAATGATGAATCTGCATCTTGTGTTTTTTAAATAATTAATTTGCATAAACGCTGTAGAATAAAAATTAATTTTTTTTGAAATGTCGACTAACAGTTATTAGAAATATTGATCAATTGAATGCTAAAAAGAAATAACTTAAAAAATGCACTCGCTTCATAATTATAGTTATGACTGTTGAGAGATAAAAAAACAATACTTTTTACACTTGAATTTATGACAGATAAAACACATATTCGATATAGTTTCCTTTATTACTTTTTAGATGTCTTTGAATACTATTATACTATAATAATATCAATATAGTATACTGTTCATACTAAAATGTTAATGCTTTATAGAATATCAATATTGGGCTAAGAGGACAATGAACTGAATGCTACGATGATGATAAGAGCAAAACGATGACGCTTAACATAGACATTACTAAACTACAACCAAATGGTGTTATTGGTGATGGAGTCCTGATTGGCATTAAAATAGTTATCATACTTCGTATGGTCGATTTCCACAAACATGAGATGAGATTGTGTGTTCCCAATGCACGCCAACCCAAATGCGAAGGCGACTGTACAGATTTTGTCATTGCAATGGTTTCGGAAAGTATGATACAAGGGGATTATGAAAGTCCAGATGGAAAAGGCACCTTCAGACTAAATAAAAAAAAAGTGAATACATTTGTTATTTAGATACAATTACCTATATCTGTAGAGATAACGTGAACAATTCTATATGTTTGGACGCTTATATTTATATACTTTTATTCATAGTTATATTAAGCCAATGTATCCACCTACTTTGAACAATATTTACTAACAGTTATCAATTGTATTATGCATAACAATGAACATATTGAAATGAATATTTACCTGAAAAATGGATTATTTCTAACATAAGTTTTGTAGTAAAATAAAGCATTGCCGACAGTATACAGTAGTTTAAACTTATAATTACAATTATAACATAATCAGCCATCACAATTTCAATTATTACAATCAAGTGGCATGATGTATCAACAAATCTACTTCTTTATACTGATAACCATAATTTAACAAATGAACAAATAATACTATTTGTATGATAAAATTAGTCCAATTAACGATAGCATATGACTTAAGGAGATACTTTTAATAAAGCAATTTACAGACAATATTAAATGCTTATTCTTCGGCTAGATCGATCTATAACTCGGCATTGAAGTACACAAACAAACATTCCCGTTAAAGGGTCACTTGCTGTCATGTTCAAGAAACAGTTAACATTGTACGGACTAGTTATAAATTATCATTATTCCGCATCTTTTTAAAAAAAAAATAGATGCTACATAATAAATCATTTAATATGAAAATATAAAAATTGACATGCACGTGCAATCATATACTAACGATTTGCTCTTTTGTGTTTATGTTATATATTACAAAATGTATAAATCATCGTTTAACCTGTATCAGAATGATTTTTGTTGGCCAATTTCGAAGATTACGATGTGTTTCGTCATGTTAACTACAGTGTACCTTATTTCACTTCTTAATGTTATCTCAATTAAAGAACATGTGAAACTTATCTCCAACTGGAAAGATTGAAATTGAAGATCGCATGCATACAGTTTTAAATTAATTGAATTAGATTGTTTTGAAAGCAAATAATTCATAAGGGATGTAAAGAAGGAGTTAAACAGTTATTAAAATACGCTGGCGGTTTATTGAAGGGTAATGTTGATCAGGTGATGGGTGTAGGAGTCAGCTTTGCATTGTACAACTTTAACACTTAGCTAATTTCAATGTGCCTTCAATGATTGAAAGGGGGAGATTTAGAAAGGATATCCAATGGCTATATAGACAACATATTGAGATATGTCATGGTTATCATTGCCAGGCATTTGTGTATAACGGTCTACTAAAAACAAATTGCAGAAATGTTTCACACAAATCTGTTAATGTAAGTGTCGAAATTCTCAGCTAGACAGTAAACACGTTTAAAGTTATTATAATCTAGACAAGTCGATTATTGGTTTTTATTGGTATTAAAAGCAATTTTTAAATTACGATATTTCATAAAATACAAATGGTTTTAAATCAATTACCCTTACCGATATCTTGGTTGTAAAATCTGGTAACTCGTGGAATCTAAAAATTCGTGTTATAAGACGAAGTGAATTGGTTTATACAGACTGTTACTATTATCTGGAACAAATAAAAATAAACAGTCATAACTTCTTATACTCTTCACATTCATAGATTCACACCGAGGATCCCTATCTGAAATCTGCAGAAAGATCCGAATCCCGAAGAGCAATTACTCGAACAAGGCAAAATCTGGATTTGAATATAACTTAGTGACAGTTTGTAGTTTTCGTATAATTGCTCCTACTATTTGGATCCCTCTGCGGATTTCCGATCATGAAACACATTATTATTTTTTTTACTGTAATTGCTCACCGGGATTTGTATCACTCCATTTTGCAACGAGATATCAGTGGTGAGATTTGAACAATCGAAAAGACGGCCACGGAGAGAACGTTTACCTTATTTATGAAAAATGAATATAGAAAAGAAGATGTGGTAAAGTAGAGTTACAGTTTTAAACGATCAACCAATCATACTAAAGCAATAAACAAATCAATATTATTGTTATAGCAATAAGGGTACCAATTTTACTGCACCCGTTGTAGATGCTTTTTTACAATCAATGCCTCTTTTGTGATGATTGACTGTTAGGAACATTAAATTTGTTTTTAAAAAAGGTTGGAAATTAGATAAAAACTAAATGAACAAAAAGTAAAGCCAAACCCGAATAACAAATCATAGATATGCATTAGGGCTTAACATTTATTACTTACAAATGCTTTAGAAATATTCAGAAACCAGGTTGTCCCAGATGACATCGTTCACAGTGAGCGAACTTTGCGCCTCTCCTTGCCCACATCTTCTTATTTTCATGTGAATCGGAGTTCCTTCAGACACTTGTCAAAAACAAGAAGATCAAAGAAGTCAGGTCATTCAATTTCGCATTCAGGTATTGATATGTTCTTTCCATTAACAATTCAAACTTTTCTGATTGGGTTTCATTAATATATCCCCGAGAACTAATAATAAAACAAACAACAATCACGGCTTCCTCCGCCTCAGTTTTACACTGATACCTCGAATTTGACATACACGGTCATCTCAGTACCAGTATATGACAAACGAGACGATTTAATTTTGAAATTTCGAATTCCTCCCACCTAAGTAGCAATATACCAACTTCACCTGTATATGTGATATACATTTACCAACTTTACCTGTATATGGGATATACATTTACCAACTTATTCTGTATTCAAGATCTTGCAGCTCCTACTCAGACTTTGTAAAAGAGGGACGAAAGATACCTGAGGGACAATCAAACTCATAGATCGAAAACAAACTGAAACGCAATGGCCAAAAATAAAAAGACAAACAGACAAATAATAGTACAGATGACACAACATAGACAACTAAAGACTAAGCAACACGAACCCCACCAAAAACTGGAGGTGATCTCAGGTGCTCCGGAAGGGTAAGCAGATCCTGCTCCACATGTGGCATCCGTCGTGTTGCTTATTATTTACGAGTTGTAAAACGTCACCAGTGTCTGAGTAAAAAGTTGATCAACCAGTGGTATGTCAGTTTCCCTTCTTAAAAAATTCATCGAAAAATACCAATACCTTGTTGATAAATATTCCGTGTCAACTTCACAAATAATACACGATGGTCTTGAAGTATCGATTCTCGGTACTGACGTTGTTTATCATCATAATAACGTGTTATAAGAAAGAGTTGGTATTGCTTGCTTTGTTTCATAAAAAAATGACCAACGTAGATACAAGTATCTTGTCGTAGGGAGGGATAAATTCTACTTTGTAAAGAATCACTCTGATTCAAACAAAATATTCTCTGAAACTGACATTATCAAGATGCTTGATTTCTTTGTTACCTTTGGAGGACGTGTTTTTCAACAAACTATCGACATTCCCATGGGAACTAATTGTGCCTTTCTTCTTACCGACTTTTTCTTTAATTCTTATGAGGCTGACTTCATACAGGAACTTCTTAGGAAGAAAGACAAGAAGTTAACAATATCTTTTAACTTTACTTTCTGCTATATAGTAAACGTTAAATGGTTATTTTACCGAGAAAAAAAAAAACACTACCGAACAAGGAAATCGGAGATATCCAAGTAGATGATACGTTCCTTCATTTCAAATTATTTTCCAAATTATATTATTCTAACTTCTAGTATCATTAAAGCATTATCCCTATTTTCATTTAAGTACTCATCTGGCTGGTGATATCCTTTAGGAGAAACAATTTACCAACAGATGTATCTCCCAAATGGTAAAACTATTTTTCAACGTAATAAATTTTAAGGCACAATATGCGCGTTTTGAGAAATGATATCCCTAAAGTAATATTCGATGCCAAAACATTTACACCTAACACAAAATAACTTCTGTTATAACTGAAAGTGATGAATAGGATAGCCCTGGTAGGACAAGGAATTAAAGTTATATACATTTGAGATACATCCTTGACTCCAAGATTTTCTCAGTCTAATGACAGTGATTATAGGTTTCGATTTTTTCTAAATATCCGTATTGCGATGCCAGAATCAAATATATGGGCTCCGAGACAGAAACTTGGATTTTAAATAACCAAAGCATATGAAGAGCTATACCTAGTAAAAACATTTTGATCTGAACACGGTAAATTTATATGAACAGCACTTACAAGTAAAATACTGAACAATAAGGTAATAAGACATTTTTAATATTTCAGTCAAATTTCAAAGTCATCATCTTCGGTGGGTTAAGTTCTTTTCAGACATTTCGCGTGCAGGTACAGTAAATTATTTGTTCTTTACATGTAAACATAATCATCATACAGTCATACCTGATTGACTGAGAAGATATTCAAGTACTAAATTGACTTCATGCCGACTGTGAGAAACAGAACTAAATTTAACGCAGTGAATAATTCTGGAAATTGACTTCTTGACGACTTAATATATTGTTCCGACTTTCAAAACGATGTTTCGATAAGTTTAAGGCATAAATGTAGCAGGCATGGGGTAATGCACATTTGTAATTGTAATGCATGGTAATGAATTACATTTTTCTAAGTAATTGCATGTAATGTGTAATGCAGCAAAGTTTGCATTACATGTAATTGTAATTTAATGCATTACTTGAGAAAAAAGTTGTGTAATTTCATGCATTACATTGCATTGCATGGCATTACTTTTATACACATACTACATGTATATATCTTTCACAGATTATTGAGATTTAGCTAAAGCAGAATTTAAAATTTCTGGATTAAATAACAGAAAATTGACCATTGTCATAAAACACTAATTAGTTTGTTTTACATTCAATCTTTTCACCATTTTTTACACTTGGTCATACATTAAGCTCTTCGTTAATTATTTGATTAGGAAAGAATTTCTCAGTGAATATTTTTGATTGGAATTAATAAAAGAAATGTATATATTTATAAAAGTGAAGTTAACATTAGTTAGAATAAATATTAAACTTTATCTCTGTAATTTCTTTTTTGAGAAAACGTAGAGATGTATACCTTGAAACCCTTATGAAGTTAAAATGTAATAGTTGTATTGAATAGACTTTGTATTTGATACTTAAATTTTAATATGTATACGTAACAGTTACTGCATATGCTAGAATCTTCTGCAACTTCATGTTGTTTTTCATAATGTTTGATTTTTTTCAATTAATAATAACATTTACAAATGTAATTTGTAATTCAATGCACTACATTGAAAAAGTAATTGCAATTTAATGCAGTACCTTGATAAATGTATATAATTGTAATCTAATGCATGGTTTTGTCAAAGTAATTGTAATATAATGCATTACATTGCAATGTAATTTGCCTAATGCCTGAAATGTAGTCACTAGTGTACAAAACTTAAAAGGACCCTCAAATATAGCAAAATCAGTTCCAGGTTGGTAGTAAACATTGATGTACGCCTATGATATGAGGTATGTTTTTTTATATTTGATCAACGCATCACAAAGGGGCCACGTTAAACCAATAACGATTGATAATGTGCCAGTTACAATGCAATAAAAAAGAAAATATTAAGCAACCGATA